TCGCCTTGGCTCCCAGAATAGGAACCCTGGATTACTAAACCGATCCTAGTGGGTGTCAACCACAAATGTGATCCGGACCGCTTTAAAGGGACACCCAGCTGGTCAACCGGTTGATTTCTCCGGGGTTCCAATCTTGGACCCAACTCGGCGCCACACGCAGGTGGCTGCATTCAGCGCGGTGGGCGGGCCCTGGACAAAGGCCAAGCCCCCAAACGAGAAAGACGAAAACGCCTTCGGAGTCTAACGAAAAGTCTTTTCTACCTAGGTGTATCTCCAAGTGAAACAATACTCGCAAAAAAATCGATGCCTAATTTTTGGAGCTTTCCCACTAGATCTTACTTCCTTCAGTCCTGTGAACAGCTTGCGACCCCTTCATGGGCCCTGAATGTATACAGGTCTTTTGGAGGGAGGTGGCTTCCTTTTGCAATACGGGTTTCTAGCACAGGGTGTTTGGAGCTATTCTTGGCCACGAGTTTCACAACTTTCAAGCCCCAACCAAAAACGGCTGGCTGTTTATCTGATGTCCATCACGGTCTTTCTGTTACAAACGTCTTGCCAAATGGTCCTTATGGAATAATTTTGACACCATGCGCAGAGCATAGCTTGAGCCTATTCTTTGAGGCCTCATTCTGCGGGCTTGCCTCGTTCTTGGGCATGGCTTTGACGCGAACTAGGCGCCGCTCTCTTGCCCTTACTAGGAAACCTTACAATGGTTGTCTACACCCCTAATAAGGGGATGATGATCGTCCCTATCAGCCCCAAGTAACAGGGTCCACTTAACAAGTAGGTTAGAACCAAGGCTACCTTCTGGTTGTCCTTCCCGTCCCGGCCTTTGCCACTGCCCCAGGCAGAAGGAAGTAGACCGGTCTCGGAGCCAAACGCCTCGGCGCTTTCAAGCGACAGCCTCACAAAGTCACCCTCTACTCCCCAGATAATTCCACAACCTAAAATCCCCCAAAAGGATCCCCATGTAAATCGGATCGCCAAGAAAATGGTTCAACATGTAAACCAGATATGAATTGGATCCCCCATGTAAAGGACCTACATGACATATTGCCAACATTGAGCTCATGTTTCCGAGGAGGACTCCACAAAACAGGGCGGCTTCCGTTTCAGCTGAAGACGGGCTGTCGTTAGTGGCAGCTGAGCGAAACCCACTGGACAAAAAGTAGCAAACAGGTGGAAAGGAAAGAGCTGACAACGAAACAGTAAAGCACAACAAAGCAAAACAAACGGCCAAGCAAGCAAGCAAGCAAGCAAGCAAGCAAGCAAGCAAGCAAGCAAGCAAGCAAGCAAGCAAGCAAGCAAGCAAGCAAGCAAGCAAGCAAGCAAGCAAGCAAGCAAGCAAGCAAGCAAGCAAGCAAGCAAGCAAGCAAGCAAGCAGGAACGCCAACCAGCAAACAAACAAACAAACAAACAAAAAAGCAAGCAAGCAAGGAAGAAAGCAAGGAAGGAAGTAAGCACGCAAACAAGAAAAACAAACAAGCAAAACACACGAGCAAAAAAGCATTGGCTAAGCCAATGCAGCTACAACACAACGACCAGGACGCCGGCTTTATGAGCCAGCCGCCAAACTTGCCTCCGCCGAGCAAGGTGCTTCGAAACACAGCGCGCTGGATGAAAATCGGCAGACTCTGCTCAAGGTTCAGAAGAAACCTCACCCACACCAGTCAAAGTCAAAGCCGATGTGGATGTGTCTTAGTTTGGGGTACCCCCGTTTTGCGGTTTTGAAGGGAAACCAAAAGGAAAGCCACCATGTTGGGCGACCCCGAAAACAAGACTGCCCATACTGGGAGCATCCCCGCAAAAGAACACGGAGGTGGATATAGGACATTTCGCATAGCTTTGAAGGGAAACCGAAACACCAAGTGGTGGGGGGGGGGTTCTCATTCTGATCATCTCCAAACAAGTCATCAAAACCTTGATCAAGCCTTCCACCCTCCATCACCCCCAGCCCCGGGTCTGATTGAGCGGGGCTGTCCCCTTTAAACCTCACAGAGAAATGAGGTGTTTCCTAGCAAATAGCAGGTTCTAACGCTTTGCAGCCTCACAAAGAAGCAAAAAGGACGCACTTGCTTTTGGGGCCCTCTTCTAGGCGGGCTGGTGCCTTTTAATGGAAAAGAAAGCCGCCCGGCAGATGGATGTGTCCAAGCCATTGGTGTCCTTCTCATGCGCTGCTCCAAAGACCCGATCCCCTTGAACTTTCTGTGGCCTGGCCTTCGGGGAGCAGGGAAAAACATATCACAAAGTCTTGGACGGGAGCCGTTGACCAGTTGTTCCGCTGCAAAGGCCAAAAACGAAAAAAAAAAAAAAAAACGAAAAAAAAACATGCCGTTGTGGGGTACTTAAACATACCATAGGAAGTTGAGTACCCAATTTGGTGGGTAGGAAATTGACCCATTGTGAGTGGGAAACCAAATCGGCCAATGTCCCACTCTTTGGCTTTGATCATGAGCCTCTGGTTCTTGGAACTTGAGGGACCCCGGGGATAATCACGGGTCCCACAGAAGCACCAGCGGAAGGCCCTTTTCGGACTAAATTGGCTTTCTTGGCCAATTGTCTTGAACATATGTTGTGGTGAGTTTGACTTTGTTCACCTAAACATGGAAGACATGCTTCAAACCTGTTTGCATGTGTTTCCTACACCGCAAACCTGCTTTTGTTTGCCCGGTCGCGAAGTCCGATCGAGTCGCTCCCTCCCGGCCTAATCTGAGCAACTCGTCGTGCCTCATGTCGGCCTCAAGGCATTTGGAAAAACATCCGGCCGGTTGGGGGGGGGGGGAGGCGGGGGAGGGAAGTCGATAGCATAGCTCTCGGAAGTATGAGAACCATTTTCAAAAGGCGACTTGTCCACTTCCACCATGGTAGAGGTCACCACCAAACACGAGGCCGAAACCGCCAAGCCTCCAAGCTCAGCCGGCTGCTCCAAATATCCGACCGGTGTCCTGTTGATCCCTAGTTGTTCGGCCTAGTTCATAGTTCGCAAGCTACATAGGCTACAACCCGCCTGCAATTGAATAATTGGATTTAGGAACATATTATATTATATATATAGTTTGGGTATGACTCCTGTTGACCTGGGCTTCGCAAAACCACTCCCATTTCTGGGGGGTCTGTCACCCACCGCATGAAGCCCCACTGACCAGAAGCCAACGGCACCCTCCTACCCAAAAATTGGCGTTTCCAAATCTTCGCAGCGCGTCTTTCTTTTGAAAAAGCCCATGTCTTTTGTTTGGTGGTTTTGGAGGAAACCCTCCAAAGAACAGCCACATTGCTAGTTAGTCTTTGTTGGAGAAGTGTTGGAAACCGCTTAGAACAAAGAAGGGCATGCAGACATGGAGCCTCATACTCCACATAGCCCTGGTTCTTTCAGGATATGATACTTTGCTTAAAACACAGAAAAAGGAAAATGCGGATGATTCCCTAAATGTCAAGCAATAAAACCAACCACAAACCTAGGAACATGAACGCGATCTTGCTTGTCCACATGCCTGCAATATGTCAAGAATCGACCCTAGTTGGGAGGTCGGCCCAGCCAGTAAGTCTTTAGTAGCCTAGGTACAACCCACTTGCAACTAGGCTCAAGTGGGTTGTATTCTAGGCTAAGCACTTGCACACTCGGCCCAAAAGCTCAAGGGGGTTCTCAAGCACTTTTTCCTCCAGCCTTGCAGCGACCACCGCCAGCCCTAGCAGCTGAGGAAGACCGCAAAAAAGGGACCGAGTCGGAGCCAGCAAAATGGCAGAGTCGCTTTGAGGGATATACTTCTCCCGCATCATAGAAACCAAACTGGGGTGTCCTTTTGACACTTGTTTGGTTGACAAGGGATTCCATACCTGAACAAATTAAGCGACGAATCCATTACCACCTTTAGGGAAGAACCCCCAACAGGCCCTACCAGCAGGAAAGGTCTGGCGTTAGTAGAGCGAAACGTCGCTCCCCTTCTGGGGATGGACCACTGTTAATAGCTTCTCAAGCGCCAGTGATGTTGAGCGAAGCCAATCCTCAGCAAATATTGGTGTTTGTCCTGCGTCTGTTTTTTGCACCTTGTTCGAGGTTGAATGTGAAACCACTGAAATACCACCCATTTTGTCATGTTCGCTGGTTTCCAAGGCCAAACGGCGAAGGGCGAAACCAGGGGCCACCCAACGATAGTTTCTGAATCTTTGGTTGGTCGTCCAAATGTCCAACTCTACATGGGCCACAGGGCTCCTCACGCGTTCAGAGCTAGACTGGATGGACCCTGTTGGCCTGAATTCTCTGAGGATTGTCCGCCAACCACTTGAGATTCATCGCCAAAACTTGAAACGCACCCCAAACTAGGCGCTCATCAGGCTTTCGTCTCACCGAGCGCCAGTCCTGCCACAGCGCACTATCAGGGTCTGTTCACAACTCAGGGACCCTACTACTGCTGGGATTCACCCTGACGTTTTCGCCCAACTGATTCTGCGAACTTAGTGAACTTGCAAGTGGGTTTACTTGAGCCCTGGTTGAAGCTCTGGCAGAAGGATCCTCTGCAATCCAGCAAGGCACCAACGGAAACCGACTGCCCTGAGCCGTGGCACCACAAAGGGAAAGCAAGGAAAAGCAAGGAGGCATGACTCAGCACTGTCTTCACCAGCCAGCATCTCCTCCAATCACCTTCATCACCAACAATCCCAGCATCACCAGCAGCATCAAAAACACACAAAACAACAAAACATGAAATTGGGTGCAGTCTAGCGTTGTGTGCGCAAAAAACACAAAAGAAAGCGACTCTAAGGGAAAGCAAGGGAACAATATATTTTTATAACGATGTCCGTCCTTCTACCTTTCAAAACCTGAAATAGGACTTGAGCCCCCAAGCAAAAGGATCGAAACATCACGGCGCTTCGCTCGTTTTCCCCCCGAATCAGGGTCTGAGGGCTCATTATGCGGACAGCCTGCCACACCCAGGAAAATTATCGAGTGTGGAGGCGCCACTGGGAAGTCCCACGCACGATACTTCAACCGGCCCCGTCCTTCAGTGCAGCCCCAGTTGAGTCAGCAGCGCCAACACTGAGCCTCAGAAGATCGTGGACGCTGCTCAGTTCTTGAGGGGAATCCAAAAACACCATCCATTTTCGGAGGTTGCTTTACAGGAAACCCAGAGACCATTGCGGAAGAGTTCAACAACTGTTCTTTGGAGGTCCCTGGGTCCACCAAGTTCTTCAAGCCGCAGTCAGCTTCCATGTTAGTGGGTCGGGGGACTTGAGCCCAAGGCAGGGGTCTGCTTGCGTTCCTTGAATGGTTTCTGGGGACCAATTTCTGACTGGCCCGAACACCAAAAAAGCCCCCCACGCATCACAGAATCTGAGCCCAATCTCCTCCCACTAATTCGATTTACTCGGGTGTGCCCACTGCATCCTTCTTTCAGGGGACATTGAGCATTGGGTCAAATGGCTATTTCTGCGAGTGTCTGAACAATCAAAAAGATCCCCCTAGAGCACCTTGTTTCACGTGGTATACAACCTCCAGACTACAAGCAAACCAAAGCTTTCCGCTTCTTACTCCAAGTTGGAAAACAAACGTTCGGTCACCCGGCGCCGAAAAGGCCACCCCCCCTCCGCCTGCGAAGATGCCCAGGATGAGGCCCAGCTCCATGATTACCCCGGCGCGGTGCTGCTCGTCTGGGTGCTTCACCTGGGCGATCGATCGTCTGGGCTTAAGTCCCTGAAATGCCCCAGCCGGACAGCACCAGTTGCATTAAGGGCTTTTGGAAATACAAACATACAAAAACTCGGGTCAACTACTTGAAACCTATCTCTGAGACAGATGACAAGACAACAAACATGCACGCGAGGGAAAGAAGCCCGCGAGCGTGGGGCGACGGATAGCTACGCGAAAAAGTGCAACCCGCTCCAAGTCTCGGTGCTTTGAGATTGCGTTGCAGGCGCGGCACTTTCGCAAACTTCGCTGTCAACCCCTCCTGCGGCCCACACCCCCCACCCATGTCTGCTGGCCCTAAGATCCTGTCCGGCGGGCCTTGAAATTTTCGGGGATGCGCTAAAAATGGTGGGTTTGCTCCCGAAAAGCATGAGCCAGGCCTGTCTCACACACCCAAGCAAGGCCCAGCCCAGGCCCCAGGCACGCCCGCCAACCAGCGGCGCACAAGCTGCCTAATAAGCCCCACCATCAGACACACAGCCGAGACTCCCAGCCCAACCAGCAACCACCCAAGCAAGCTCATCCACCAACCGCCCTGTCTGCTGGCTCCATGACTCACTCCTGGTCCTGTGCATCGCCTTGCCCTTGCCTCGCGGATTCCTCATCAGTTGGTCCAACGACGCCAGAACCTGTCCATGCCTGAATCGCCACTTGACCAGCTCTGCTGCTTGCAGTCGAACCACAGACGCTGCACGCTTGGCTGGGCCGAGGCGAGCAACGCGCAGCAATTACAAACACATTTACGATTACACACAATTACAGTTACAATTGCAATTACAATTACAATTAGATAGATAGATAGATGGATACATACATAGATACATAGATAGATACATAAATAGATTAGATAGATAGATAGATAGATAGATAGATAGATGGATGGATGGATGGATAGATAGATAGATAGATAGATTAGATAGATTAGGAGATTGGTAGATTAGATAGATACATAGATAGATAGATTATGTAGATAGATTAGATAGATGGCCAGATGGGCACACGGACAGACAGATAGGTAGGTAGGTAGGGAGATAAAGAGACAGACGGATAGACAGACAAATAGATACATACATAGAGAGAGAGAGATAGATAGATAGATAGATAGATAGACAGATATGTACATAGATAGATAGATAGATAGATAGATAGATAGATAGATAGACAGACAGATAGATAGATAGATAGATAGATACATAGATAGATAGATAGACAGACAGATAGATAGATAGATAGATAGATACATAGATAGATAGATAGATAGATACATAAATAGATTAGATCGATCGATCGATCGATAAATAAATAAATATATAGACAGATAGATTAGATAGATAGATAGATAGATAGATAGATAGATAGATAGATAGATAGATAGATAGATAGATAGATAGATAGATAGATAGATAGATAGATAGATAGATAGATAGATAGATAGATAGATAGATAGATAGATAGATAGATAGATAGATAGATAGATAGATAGATAGATAGATAGATAGATAGATAGATAGATAGATAGATAGATAGATAGATAGATAGATAGATAGATAGATAGATAGATAGATAGATAGATAGATAGATAGATAGATAGATAGATAGATTAGATTAGATAGATAGATAGATAGATAGATAGATAGATAAATAGTAGATAGATATAGATAGATAGATAGATAGATAGATAGATAGATAGATAGATAGATAGATAGATAGATAGATAGATAGATAGATAGATAGATAGATAGATAGATAGATAGACAGATAGATACATAGATAGATAGATAGATAGATTAATTAGATAGATAGATAGATAGATCGATAGATAGATAGATAGATAGAGATAGAGATAGAGATAGATATAGAGATATAGATATAGATTTAGATATAGATATGTAGATATAGATAGATTAGATTAGATTAGATTAGATAGATGGATAGATAGGATAGGATAGGATAGGATAAGATAAGATAAGATAAGAAAGAAAGATAGATAGATAGATTGGATTGGATTGGATTGGATTAGATTAGATTAGATTAAATTAGATTAGATTAGATTAGATTAGATTGGATTAGATTAGATTAGATAGATAGATAGAAAAGAAATAGATGGATGGATAGATAGATGGATGGATGGATGGATGCATGGATGGATGGATGCATGGATGGATGCATGGATAGCTGGATGGATGGACGAATAGACTACATAGATTAGATACATTAGGTAGAAAAGATAGATTAGATACATAGATAGGCACAGGTAGACTAGATTAGATGAAAGTAGAACCAAAAAATTGGGTGAGCACGCATACAAAATAGACGATGCGTCCGCCAACCCCAGACGAGCGCCATGCCCCTCCCGGCGCTCACGCGCGCTGGGCGCGCGCGCCAAGGGCACCTGCGAAGGCCCGTACATCATGGCCAGCGTGCTGCACCAGCCGTTGGAGGCTGCGAAGAGCGCCATGGTCAAGAAGGCCAAGTAGTCCTCGCGCATGCTGGGAACAAAACAGAAAAAAAGCGAGTAGGAACAGCTCCCTTCCTGGTCCTTTTGGGCGAAAATAGACAGCTCAGTATGGGGCAATCTTCCTTGCGACAGTGCTTTTGGGGTGACTTGCCAGCGATCTCTAGTTCTACACCCAGCCAGTGCGAAAAGGACAGGGTTGGTTCCTGAAAGGAACCATCAAAAACACATGCAAGATCCAAGGGTTTGGAACCGCTAAATCTGCTTGCAATGGTGGTTGTTTGACTGGTCCAAGTGTATGTTTTACGCAGCCTATTTATCCAAACAGGCAGCCAACAGTTGGCAGGTTCCCGAAAGTTGGAAAACTCTTATACTCAAGTGCTCCAAGGGCACGCCAAAACGACTTTCTTGGCAGAAATACTTTTGGAGACCCCAAATCGGGCCATATACTCCCTTGCAAATGAACATGGAACGCACCAAAAACCTCTAGGAACGGACTCTCCTTTTGGGGCATCCCCCTGTTTGACTTCCAAGGAACTGCAAGGTCATGCCAGGGGTTCATATGAGAAGTTGGTGAGTAGACCTCGGAGCCAAAGTCCATGCTTCCACCAGGTTCCAAACCACCTAATCCGTCAGGGTGGGGCCAGAACGGAGACAAAACAGCCGCTAGATATCCACTACATATACGGGGTATTTACCTCCCACCTGACGTTTCGGGGGGTCTTGGAAGACAACATGTTCCTTTTAACTGTCAGGTAACATGTGAATTTGTGGGAGGTGAAGCCTTTTCTCCTGGGACTTGTCTGGGTTCGATAAGCATCCCTGAGTCGGAACGACCCCGGACTGAGCCATCCAACCAGTGGTTCCCAAAGCGAATCCCAAACAGTTCACCAGGTTTGTGCCAACCCCGCAAGGAAGTTGAGGCACTTGAGGAAACAGCCCCCTTGCTGATCAACAAGCTGCGTGCGCTGTTGGCATACGTTGAAGAATTCAAGCGCACCGACCAACTTCTCACCCGCACCCCCTGCGACCTTCCACCCGACCAACGCAGGCTCGTTGAATGCGGCAGATTTGTTTGTGTGTGTGGCTTTCTACATCTCATCATGGAGAACGGTGTGAGAAGTGGCCGGAATCCTTCGAGGCCGTTCTCATTGAGGGGGAGGCAGCGGTTTGAACTACTCTCGGAGCTTTGTCGTTGCTGGTCAGCCACTTCGAGCCCTTTAAATCTGGATGGGCGACAAAGAAGGTCTGTTTGACCTGTGCCGATGTACGCAAAGCTCCCCCGCCTTCGAGTCAAGGGCAAAGAACGGCACTTGGGAGAGTGGGTCCAAGAAAGCATGGGCCAATCATTTGGCGGTCTGTGGCCCAGAGTCATTCTCCGGTTTTGCATTTGGACGTCAGAGCTGAGAACTTCGGAAAGGCGCTGCAATCAAACCCGCGTAACTTGCAAGGTCTTACTTGCTTGGGGCCAAGGCAGGTCAATGCCAGGACCTCTCGCCCTGACAACAAAATTCCTCTATCCGGGCACATCCGCGTAGCTTGTGTGATCATGTGCGGGTACGTTGGAGCTTGACCACATTGACAGCTCCGAAAGATCCCGCCTGGAGGCGGACAGTTGTTCACACACGCCCTCCCAGCTGGAACTTCTGGGCAGTAGACTTGTGTAATCACTAGCGCCGGGTCTCCCAGAGATTTTTTCTGCCGGAACATCAGCACCTGTATGGCCGGCTGCTGAGAGGCTTCATGGTGCAGTTTCGGGAGAACGTCAATTTTCGGCCGGTAAGGCAACAGGCTATGCCTGTTGGTGACCGGAGCCTCGTAGTGCACCACCCACACAGCTGGTGCAGCTGTGGGAGACACTGTGGAAGCATGCGGGGAGACGGATCAGAATCGCAACGAAACTACTGAGATGCGCAAGAGAGGGAGAGATTGAGCGGATTTTTTGTAGGCTTCATCGTGGCTGAAGACTTCTTGTTGACACACCCAGTTGGGGTCCAACCTGTTGGGAGCGGGCAGTCAGCTACGCGCAGCGGTCCCGAAGACGAACCTGACGAGGGCAAACCCCTTTCGCTTAAAGCGCTGACTTTAAAACTCATGTTTGGCTCAAGAAAGCCGCCTACGCTACCCACCAGCATCATCAAACAGCCAACCCACGACCCAGGGAAGCCACAATGCAAAGGATATATCTCCAATAACTCCCTCAGGGGTTGGGCCAACCCGTCACCTGTTTAAACACCCTTTCAGCATTCACCTGTCATCCTTGGACAATGGCCATGGCTGTTTGAACAAGGCACCTTCAAGAGAACACAACCTTTTTAGCAGCGCCCAAAACCCATTGACTTCCGTTTCCACAATGATTCGAAAGGTTTTGTAGGCTTTTCTATACCCGCAAGTAAACCTGCTAATATAGAAATAGAAATCGGCTGGCGCTGCTCACTTGAAGCCGCCCCATGCAAGGAGACGAATCAATACGCTCTCGTGCCCTTCTTCAAGTGCTTTAAAGGGAAATCAACAGAAAGCCGGTCACTTTGTAGAAAGTGTTTTACATGCACAATGATTGAGTCCCGATTCCGTTGTGTCGGGTATGAGTAAACCACAAATGGACCATAGACTCTGGGAAACTTCGACTAGCCTCATACATTCTAGTTTCATGCGTCTTTTTCGAGGCGCGCTACCTCTCCTGGGATAGTGTTTTCTGCGAAGTAGCCTGTGCACATCCTACGATCAAGACCAAAAGGAAACCAACATTCGAAAACAATTCCGAGGGCTCCATATCCAACCTTGAGACAAACTCATTTAGGTGTGTCTTTTTGAGGGCACCCCCAAAGTCGCCCTTCAACAAACCACCAAACAAAAGGTCCCAACTCCAACAAGAAGAAGAGCAAAAATGAGCCACCCATTCCTTGGCTCGGACGACTCGACCCCCCGATTCCTCCCCCCGACCCGACCGGCGGACGCCTGCCAGGGCGCGGCGATGGAGTTGGGGCACCGCTGAAGGGCCATGAAGGCCTGGCGCGTCTTCGGGTGCCGAGCGCCAGCCACAGACTCTTCCCAGACTCCTCCCCACCCCACCCCAAACACCCCTCAAAGATTAAGGCCATGTTGACCCCATATTCATCAACCAGGAACTAAAAAAACAATGCAAAAATGGGCACTGTTGGAGGGGACCACCGCGCTACAAATAAACTGGGGTTGATTGACATGGGGTCAACATGATTGGATCTATTGAGGCTGTGGAGCCTTATTTCGCCTGTTTGGCCTGGTCTGGTCTTATCCCGCTTGAACTTCCCTGGTTTCCAGCTCGCTCTATGATTGGTATATCATAAATGTATGTAAACATAATATATATATATATATATACATACTTATTATGTCCTGCATACACATTTTATACACTCGAAGTTAGCCAAGTGGTTGGCTTTGCCCCCCGGTGAACCCACGGCCAACCCCTAACTACCCCCAGTCACCCCAGGGTACCCCTGTTCAACCTCCAGTTGACCCGGTTAATTCCTCAAAATTCCCTCCAAATGCTTGCTTAAAGGGCAACCACTGGTGCCCTATGAGTCATCCCTGGCGGTTTCCACTGAGGGCATCCTTGAGATGCGCCTCCTGTCTTTTTTTGCTGTTTTCTGTTTGCTTTTCTTTCTCTTGTTTTTTTTTTGGGGGGGGAGGAAAGACTTTTCAAGGGAGGCCACTTCGTTGCTGGGAACCCCTCAAACACATCGGCCCCTTTCCGAACACTTCGGTTCCGAGGCGCCGGGATGAAGAGCACCCGCAGCCACACGGGGATGAAGAGCCGGGAGCAGTTCACCCCGATCTTCTCCAGCCCCTGGCGAGCGCTTGGGACGCTTGGGACGAACCAACGTCGCCTTTGGCCGTCTTGGGCTGACCGGATCAGATACTGCACGATCTAGAAGCCAGAGCGAACATGTTGATGGGGCTGATTGGCCTTGGAGTGTTTCCGGATTTACCACTTTTGGTGACCACGAGGTTTGTTACAAAAGTACACTGTTTGGTATGAGTGGAGTTTGGTTTTGTGGTGCCAGGCAGGACAAGAGGCAGATCCCCAAACTCCTGAAACACAAGCAGGCTCCGATGGGACTCAGGGTGTGCTACCATTGCACCACGGGCCCTTGCTGTTTTCCAGACACACCTCTAAGCCAGCAGAGCAGTCCAAAAAGCTGGGTCACTCTGAATGAGTTCAAACACCCTCAGACGTGAGTCCCGTTGGGCGAGTTCCGCGCTTTAAAGGACCTGCAGGTAAACATGCTTTGAACTATAAACATAGCTGTTGTCCTACAACAGTGGGTTGAACATCCAAGTCGCCTACGAAAGGGTCGACCGGGTTCCCTTGAGCATCACACCAAGAGGAAACTCACTTCGATTCAAAAGGGAAATGGGAGTGACAAACTATCCGGTCAGAACTCGGGTTTTTGGGGAAACCTTTTAGTGGGTAAGACTCAGGTCGACGCCTTCCGTCCCAGTCGATCAGTCGATCGCCTGGGGGGTGGCGCGGCCCACCACGTCGAAGATCTGGAAGACGCCCACGACCAGCGTGGTGTACCAGTCGTTGCCTAGCTTGCCTGGCGCTCGCGAGAGGTGTGGCTTTGAGGGCAGTGGGCGGAAGGAACCCTTCTGGGATAAAGAACAACGCACATAGCACTTCGGCCCAACCCTGAAATGCAGCTGCTTTCTTTCGGGCAACAAACGCAGATCTCTCCCTTTGGGCTTCCTGCGGGGTCGTTTGGGGCTTCAACCCCACGCCTTTGGAGGTGAAGAACTCCAGCTGGGGCTTCCAGGTAGCCGCCACCCCGGGGAAGACGATGAAGGTCACCTCTCGCCGCAGACCGGCCCCACAGGGTTGCGCTCCAGGCCCGAAACAAAAATCTACGCAGCCTTTGGACAGGTAACCAAACCACCATAAGAGTTGGGCGCACCTGGGTAGGACCCGGAAAAAGAAAAAGACACAAAATAACATTCCGGCGTTTGCGCAAGAGATATTTCGTGCATTGACGGTAGGAACTGGGGGAATCCCTTGCAAAACCAAAAGGAAACCGTTTTGATAACGGGACTTTATCTAGGATTCAGCGGATTTCGGCCCATTCTCACTGATGGGATGGGAATGGTTTCTTGTGGGATGCTGTTGGGGATTGGGTTGCTGGGATTTCCTTAAAGTCTTGGGGTTCTGGGGATTCCGACTTGGGAGACCAAAAGGAAAGCGTTTGGATAGAGATGTTTGCATGCTCCGGCGGCTGGCCGGAATGTGGCACCCTACAGCCGTTCCCCTCCTTGGGGGGTGAGTTGACATGTTTTGTCAACATCGCGATTGTTCACCCAGAGGACATTGGAAGATCATCACCTGGTCCATGTGTGTTGAGGAAATAGGGCATAAGACCGATCCCTTTTCGCATCCGAAGCGCCACAAAGACGGTGGCGATGTTCACCAGCTGCGGCGACACATCCTGGCCGTGGGAAGCTTCGAAGCTTCCCTGTCCGCGGAGCTTGCCAGCGCTTTAGGGAAGCACCCCCCTTCCAAAAAAGAAAAGGTTCTCAGAACCTTCTTGGAAGGGTTCTTGGTGGCTAAGGGGGCACCTTTCGGCCGATCTGAGGTGAGTTCCGTTTGCTAGGCTGTTCGCGGCCAGTTCCAAAAACAGGGTTCTTGAAAGAATCATGTGGATATCATCCGAAAGGAACCCATTTCTCAAAAACCTGCTCAACAGGCCACCCCAAATTTGGCAACTTCTTTGCCAGAAGCAGGGCTCACCCTATGTTTTCTCTGAAACACCCCAACTAGAGGAAGCTCCCCAAACGGTGATATTTGCATGCCAATCATTAGGGCCCATCAAAACGGCAAGTACCCCCCATACAAAACAAGATGTCGCAATTCCCTATGGAAGAGACAAGGGGGCGAAACCAACTTGGGCAGCTTCCAGCACCCTCCAAGAACTTGGGTCCATACCTGCTGTGCCCTGGAGCCATGGGGCACCAAGCGCTGGTGGCTTCGTCCGCTTTCGCCCCCGGAGCTTCGAGTCGAGTCCTTCAGCACCGCGCGGGCGCCCCGCTGGGCCTCCAAAAGCCCGGCCCCGGCGGCCCGGGAGCCGCCGGAGGTGAAGGAGTCTGCGGCCGTAAAAACCCCGTGGCGGGAGGTAGAACCCAAAAGGTGTCGACCCATCCAACCATAACTTTTGGGGGCGTTTCGAACGAAATGGCGGCAGCCCGAAGAGTTGGTGGGTTTCCATTTTTGCTTCCCTACAAAACCAATTCGACGGCAGGACCGGAATTCCAAAAGACCAACTTATTTTTTGGCTATTCACTTGGCAACTTGCGTACTTCATTTTCGTGGCGGCTGATTTGAGGGACCGCTTTGGCAGCCTATCTCACTACACGATGGTTCCTTTGCGCCAAGCCACTCATGTTTTCTTTCATGTTGCAATCGGGTACTCATCCAAGCTCTTAAGAGCGGGTCCCGAAAGAGTTCTGAAACAAGTCCCTTGAGTTTGAACAAGGGTTCAACTTGTTGGTGCATACAAGGGCACCAAGCCAATGAAACAAGTTTTAAAGCGCTTCAGGAGTCTTTCCTTCAACGCCATTAGGTATGGGCTTGGAGGTATGGGACTTGCAAGCTTAGTAGTATGTATGTTTGGCCTACCTCCCTCAAAATGGTGCTTAACACTGTTGCTCACAAAAGGAGTGCCAATGGAAGAGAAAACAAGACAAACAAGAACTCAACACATGAGCCGTGGTCAAAATTGTGGGGTTTCCGCTAAAGGACATGGGACAACCAGTGAGGCCCTTGGCTCTTGTAAGAAATTTAGTGAGTCCACCATGTGCCCCCAAATGGACCATAGACTCATGGACATTTCGACCAAACCTCACATGAGCATCCACTTTCTTACAAAACCACGAAAAACTTGAAGCGTCTCCCGAACAGACGGGGACCCGCCCCAGGGCCGCCCCAAACAAATCTTTCTTGCAAATTGACTCCATAGCTGCCAGTGAGAATGATTTTGCTTCCACAGTGTGCAAACATGAAAACTGGCAGGTCGTTGACCCCACCGGAAAGAGCCCACTGCAATGAATTGCGCCCGAAGCTGAAGTGAAACCTAGGGCGAATCTCACCCCGGAAAAAGGGCCCTCTACGAGTATCCTGAAACCTTCAGGTGTGGGGACATGATTTTGCGAGACAAGGGCAAACATGGGGCTGCCAACAGGGGAAAAATACCACCACGCAAGGATTGCTTGTTTCGTCAACACTTGGCTACTTGGCTTGTCTTAGACCCCCCTCAAAAGTAAAGTTAGGGATAGCGTGAATGTCCTCAAAAGCTTCAAATGTAACTTTGGACGTACCAAAGAGTACCCAAAAGCCGTGAAAACATGCTGGCGACCCTGGAAAATTGAACCTGTAGAAAAAATATGCCTGGTCAATAAGGCCCCGAAGTGAAATTTACCCACCATACCATTAACCACTTGCTGTTGAATCCCAGGCACGCACCACCTCCACCATGTTCGCCTCAGCGCTCCGGTGATCCTCGCTCCAGATTGGATGCAAGAATTGCTCGTGCGAAGAAGCGAGACCCGTGTGGGCCCTTTGGGGGTTGGCATGCCTTCTGGCCGTAGTAGGGAGTGAGAAGAATGTTTGGCGGGTTCCCCCATCCCCTCCCCTCCCCCCCCCCCCCAGCTCTCCGACTCTCCTGGTAGGACGCCGGCACAAAGCGCACCAGACAGAGCCCCAGCAGCTGCAGACCCGCGCAGAACCCAAAGAAACCGAAGACCACCTGCCGAATTCGCCCACTTTGGACATTTGGGGACGCCGGTCCCTCAAAATCAAAAAGGACACAGCCTGGACTTGGATGACTGCCCAACAATGGTTGGCATCCTGCTTAACAAGTCTCCTAAGTTGCATGTGCCCTCCATATATCCCACGGAATGGGGACTCCTGAACCAAGCATATCAACCACTCACCCCCAAGTATGGCCATCCTGGCAAGGTCACCGCAGCTCCCGAAAAAGGCTTCCCTGTAACACAAGGTGCAGGCCGCAGCCTGGTACTTCCACAGCATCGGGTCTCCGGAGAGGAACTTCAGCCCGATCAGCAGTATCGGGGAGATCACTCCCACGATGCCTCTCTTGCACGGGACCCCTTGCGTGGTTTTGGACGGGAAGCGACACTTTCGGGTGGTTCCCTTGTCAACTCCAAAACTCAGGCACTCTGTTCTGACGGCACCCTTTCGGGCAAAATGCCCCTTTCTTGGAGTTGAAGGGCAGCCACGGGAAAACCAGCCGTTTTAGTGGTTCCCTAGTTGCGAGACAAACCCGAAGGTAGTTGTGCATGTTGCCTACATGGAGTGCTCTTTTTTCTACGGAGGGGTTGGCCTCTTGACACCCTTTGCAGGAAGCTCATGGGACAAGAAGAGGGTGTCAAAGCATCTTGAAAGCTTCCAAACAGCAAAACGCCGAACACTCAAACAAAGAAAGCCCACCTTAAACGAGTTCCAAAGAAAGCACAGCATCCTGCAAAAATGTCTTATTCCCCCAACCCAATGAAGCAAAACTATGTTCCTTAACAGGACCCTGCCCAACAAAAAAGTCGAACCCGCCTTTTTGATGGCGCTCAAGAGCCCTCCCGATATCGACGCGTCGAGGGAATTCGCGCCTTGGCCGGCCATGATGCCCCCCATGAGCCTGGCCAGACTTCACCAGGCTTCAACCCGCAAAACGTGAGCTTTCGGCTGGTTGAAAGGGAAAATAAGCAATCAACAAGGCGAATGCCGCTCTGCAAATTCACAGGACCCAAAATGTGGTTTGTCTTAAAATAAGGGCCTCGAAAAAAATTGAGGCTGGTTCAAAAAACGCAACCGGAAAATGAACACTGAGCCCCAAAAACAAACACACGCATGGAGAAGCAAAGCACCGAAGTGAAAAGGGAATAAACCAAACGTCAGACCAAGAACTGTCGCTGTCCCTTTGTTTACCTTCAAAACCCCGAAAAGGTGCCCAAAAATAGGCTGGAGAGGATGCGCCTTTTCAAAAAATGACCAACCAGGTGACCTGCTAAAAACAAAGAGTCATCAATTGTGGGTGAGCCCGGTCAACCGATGTAAGATGGTCCACGTTGACACAGCTGAATGGGCGGAACCCGACCGCGCCTGGGGTCCCCCATGGACCCCGCCAGCCCGCAGATCAGCGAGGTGAAGCAGCTCTCTGCGAGGCCCAGCACCTCGCTCCGCTTTGATTCGACTTGAGCGAGCCTACGAGGCAAGACAGGGAAGGTAGACGTTAGGCGCCTAGCAAAAGTTCGGGCTTCCTTAAAGCGGGGTACCACACCTATGTATGTACGTATGTACGTATGTATGTACGTATGTA